CCAATTTATATTCTTGCGGGCTAGTTGTGAAGCAAGATCATCATGCTTTTGGGACAAGAATGAATCAAGCTCTCTAATATAGTTACTCGCTCCTAAATAATTTCGTCCACAATCCGAACGTATAAGGGTAGGTAATCCGCGACGCGCAACAAATCGGGTAAAGGTAGATAGGAAAGATTCAGTCGTAAGGTCGGATACTACTTCTAAATGTAAATAAAATAATTTAGTTGACAGGCAAACAAATACACACAGATAACTCTTTACTATTTTCTTATTTCGATAGGATTGTACTTTAGTATAGAAAGGGCCCGCAAAGTCAGTGCCAACACGAGAAAATGGTCTAGCCGAAGTAACCCGGTCCCTGGGTAGATCACCCATAGGGGGTTGAGATACGGATGCTTTAAGGCGGTAACAAGAGAGACAATGAAATATTATGTTTTGAATAGCACGTCGGGCCGATAATATCCAGTATTCACGGGAAAGGATAGCATGTAAGGCATTAGAACCAGCATGAGAATTTTCGATATGATAATGGGAAATTATTAATTTAACAAGGGGGTCAGACTTAGGTAAAAGTAATGGGTGACGAGCATCGTATGGGAGTTCAGAATTACGTATACGTCCGCCAACTCTGACTAAACCGTTTTCATCTAGGAAACACGACAGCCGTTTTAAAGGGGATTTAATAACATTACCGCATTTTAAGGATTCTATCTCATTAGAAAATGCATGTAACTGGGTTGCTTTAATAAGCATCAACAAAGAATTACGTCGTTCGTCAACAGAAAGGTAAGGATTAATAACACGTAAATTAACATTTTTAATATTATATAAAACGCAGAATAAAGCCTAACACTCCGACTAGTTTATTTAAGGAACTATACCGGTCGAGGAGAAACGAGAGATCCATAACTAGCGTAGGTATTTCAATTAACAAACAGCGAAGGCCAGGTAAAGAATCAATAGGATTGTTTGTTAAGTCTGTACCAATAGGCCAATGATTAGGGGATTCTGTCAACCAGGAAGGAGACCACCATAGATCATGGTTAAGAAGAGACGATGCGCTAAGACCTCGGGAAGCGCAATCGCTAGGGTTAATAGAACCAGGAACATGATGCCACTCGGAAGGGAAATCGGATGAGGTGATTTGAGACACGCGGTTTGCTTCGAATGTTTGAAGCAGGTGAGGAGGAGTCTTTATCCATGCCAGCACAATTTTGCTATCCGTCCAACTATGGATAGCATCCAACACGATTACCTTCTGTAGACAAATGGTAACGTGATGAATTAATTTTGTGAGGAGCACAGCTCCTTGCAATTCCAACTTGGGAATTGTGAGCCGAGTACGGATAGGGGCAACCTTACTCTTAGAAATGAGGAGATGGACGGAGCTTGGGACCTGTGTGTAAACACTGGTTTAATGAAACACCATTAGAGGTTGGACTACTTCCATTAAAAACAACACGAATTTTAGAGTGGTCGTCGGCCTTAAACACTCCGTGATGGGGAATATAATAATGCTCAAGTAATGATGGATTATAGGAAATGGGAGACATATGGTGAAGATCTATGTACTCACGCATAAATATAATATATTTTTCACGAAGCTCTGAGTTGGCATTGAAACGTCTTTCCAAATTTAGGAAACACTTAACCGCTGACTTGGATTCACCAAGCTGGGGACGATCAGAGATAAACGGAAGTCGGACCATAAAACGACCGTCACTCTCACGGGTGATGCCATTCTTAAAAATACGTTCGCACTCTAACTCCTCAGGATTGGGATTGAGAATTTGAGGCAGTTCCTCAATTTTTTAAAATTTCTCTACGACCTGGGATAGAGAAATGCCAGTCATAGGGGGTTCAAGGTCAGGGAAATTACCAGCAACAGGTCCGGACAATACACAACCAAAAACGGTTGAAAGGCCGGTCAGACCATGAGGAAGAGAAATCGATTTTTCAGGTTGCATAAGATAACCGAACACGTCGGCACCTAACAATACCTCAATAGGCCCTGGTTTATAAAAGGAGGGGTCCGCTACGGTACGGAAAGGTGATTAATACTATTAACAACAGGCCTAGGCAACTCAATCTCAGGATGGGGGCATGCAATTACATCAACAACCACTGCAGGGGTTGTTATCACAGGATACGATCTATGAACTGGTTTAAAGGTAAGGGAACTAGAACCGCGGGAATATACAGATTGAATGTTGCCAATACCGCGAATAGGTACTGAGTTTGATGATAAGGGGACATTCAATCTCTCAACAGCTAAGTCGGTAGTAAGCAGACAACCTTGTGCGCCTGTATCACATAACGCACGGGCCTCTATAAAATAACCATAAGCCGATTTGACATGAATAATGGCGGTAGGTAGGAGGACTAGGGAATTGGAGGGAATAGACATATGTGGTGAGAAAGCAGGGGGGATACAGGGCCTAGTTATTGGGACGAGTTCCGTCTATGGTTGGTATGCATAGAACGGTCGGGGAGGTCACCTGATTTATGATATGTTTTATCTCGGGAAGTGACCGCGGGGGGAGGGGACGTATGACGATAATCTTGTCGTGAGTATGTAGGAGAAGCTCGACGTGCAGGTGATGACGAATCACAACAGGGAGTACGGCTGTTATAAGGGGGACGGCCCCCGCCCGTGCGGGGAGGTGATGTACGCGGTGCACTATGCACAAGAGCATTGCGATAATTTGTATTATTTCGATTCTGATGGTTAGGATAAACAAGGTCTCGAGAATTGTTAAAACACAGTAATGTGTGATGGGAGGACCGAGCACAGACAGCACACCTGTAATCACGTGTGCAATTAGCTATCGAATGTTTATCTAAACATCGATAGCACAGGCCAGACGATTTAATAAAATAAGATCGGTCACGTGGGTTCATATCACGAAATTGGGGACATTCACGTAAATAATGGGAATCACTATTACACATATGGCACTTCTTATTGGAAACTGGTACCTGGGAAACATAGGCCCTACGCGGGTGGTTAGATTGCTGGTTATGCGAGTATTCAGGTCTTCATTCAAACGTACGGGAAGTTGGGGCAGAATCTGCTAATGCTGCATCACCTACATTATCATGGTGGTGGCACTCATCCTCTAAAAAAGTGATGATCTGATCAAACTGGGGCAGTCGTTTACTATCACCACCGTAACGCCGCTCAAAACGAGCCTTTAACTCCAGGGGCAACTTATTAAGGCATATGTGCACTAGCATATATGACCAACTAGTCACAGGTAGCTCTAAGCGTTCCAAACAACGATAAGCTGTTAACAATGGGTTGAGAAACGAAGCACGTAATCCATTCAATTTAGGGGGTATGTTAGGTAAGGTAAGGATCTGTGTTATATATGTATCCGCCAGTATTCGCGTATTATGATATCTCCGCTTTAACAAATCACGAGCGATAGGGTAATTCTCTGCTTCAATACGTAAATGTAATAGTAGACGTTTATGCTCACCCGATAATGCACCAACAAGGTACTGTAACTTATTAGTAGGGCTAAGGTCAGGTTGGGAATCGACAATACTATCAAATTGGTCGACGAAGCTCAAATAGGATCCGCTTTGGCCGTTAAAGGTAGGAATAGGTAAGTCGGGTAGTTTACTTTTAATACACATTAGAGGGGAAGATATTAATGGAAGCCGCTTAGGAGTACTCGACTCTGTAGAGGGATCATGGAACAATTCAAGCTGCAACTCACTAAACCTAAGCCGTAACTCTTCTACCATAGGCCGCATTGACTTAGATAAGGTTAGGGTATCTTTATACTCCTTCGTATCAATCACCGGGTCCAAACCGCCAAGGAGACAAGAACACGCTTCATTAAATTTAGCATAGTTCTCATTCAGTTCAGAAAGCCGCACGATAAGCCTATCACGTGACGCAGAAGGCAGCAAAGTATAAGCATCCGTAATCCAGTCACTGATTAATCGAACAGTACCCATTGACTGACGATACTCAACAGTCTCACTGAATAAACACGCTCTCACCGTATCATTTGGATTCGACATCTTTATTTTAATTATTAATTACCACAAACAAAGAAATATTTAATAAAATATAAAGATATAACTCACGAGTATTTATAAAGGCCAAATAAAATATAATAATAATAGATTATTATTGTATTATCAATAATCAACTATATTTTCAAGCAAATAATAGTAATAACTTCCAACGTACACATCGAGCTCTCAGTTATTTTTCGTTTTAACCTATAAAAACCTACTGTTCAAAGTTTGCTAGCGCTTTAAAGTGTTTAGTGTGATCGTCTTCGTGTCCGGTGTTGTTGGTGTAAACAAGTGATCGCGAAATTTCGATTAATTTAACTTTTATAAACTGTGAATTACCATACTCTTTTTCGTGGAAGAGGGTATATGAAAATCGTAGACACTGTTGGCAAAGTATTGATCTGGATCACTACAGCGACATCTCACGGCGAATAGCAGGTACTCAAACGTGAGCCCTCTAGTGGTTATTCAGAATACTATTTCAACATGGTCAAGTGCGCTGCTTGTGGCAAATTCATGGCTACTTCAGATGGCGTTGCGTGTCACAGGTGCTCTGCTATTCACCACCGCGCATGCGTGGGTTTGCCTGCCGTCGGACAGGTGGCGCTTACTTGGGTTTGTCCAGAATGTAAAGCTAAGGAGCCGAGACAAAGTAATCTGGCCACCCCTGTACGTGGTATACATGCGGATTGCACGTCGAGAAGTGATGACCTGCTATCACACAATATGTCACTAGACGACACCGCTCACAATATTACAGAGGAGTTTACAACTCAGGAATGGGCACTTGAATTTAGATTGTTCCGTACAGAGATGCAAGCTGCGAGATCGGAGATGCAGGTACTTCGACAGGAAATTACTGAATTGAAGAACACTATTAGCCAATGTAATAGCAGAATGGATTCTATCGAAGCCAGGGTTCTGAGTTTGGAGAAAAGAGTGGAGAGACAGCTGTTATCGATATGACTGGTTTACAGAGTACTATAGTACAGTTACAGGAAGAGATTGCTGAAAAAGAAAGAAGCGAGCTTCTCAATGACGTAGAAATATCTGGGGTCCCTGAATTCGAAGCTGAGTCGGTGGAAAATATTATCATCACTGTGGCTGCCAAATTGGGTATAAGCATGGACGAGCGTGACATCGTCAGTGCCTCGCGCGTGGGTCTACGACGGGGTACATCTACCGGCGGTGACGCAACTGAAGGGATGCCACGCCCGCGCCCGCTTGCCGTCAGACTAACACGACGTCTCCTTCGAGATCAGCTCCTGCGAGCCGCACGGGTACGCAGACATGCGTCTACTGCTGATATGGGTTTGCCCCAGCATGAACCGCAGCGCCTATATGTCAATGAACGACTTACAAAAACATACCGCAGCTTATTTGGGAGGGCGCGCGAGGCTACCAGGCGACAGAGATGGCGATTTGTCTGGACCAGGAATGGCCGGGTATATGTTAGGCGCGATGTACTTTCTCCTGTTCACACGATTCGTCAGCAGGCAGATATAGATCGCATTTTTAGTACCGATGCCTCACCTGTATACATTCAATAATGTTTTAAATGAATTGTGTTCTTCATCATTACATTGCATCTCTATTTTTTACAGACTTCTTAATTTTGTACTTGTTCCTTGGGTGGCTTTGTGTCTCTCTGTTGGTTTGTGTGAATTTAAATTAACTGAACTAATTTACTTAAGTTTTATGTCCATATACTTATCACATAATTTATCGGTCTTTTACATTAGTTTTTCATCACGACACGTAACACAAACATACATCAATCGAGATCAAATATACAATGCTAATTATTTTGCAAGACATACTTTGTTAGTTCGCCTCAATAGTATTTATAAATTAATATTTCTATTCTTGGGCATCACATCATACAATCAAAACATATATTTATTTATACATTATGTTTATCTTCAACGTGTTTAAACAAAGATACCTAAAGATTGGTCTCTTTAATGCCGGATCCTTGGGTACAAAGCATGACGAGATAGAGGTTGCAGTAGGGCGACATTCCCCTGATATATTAGCTATAAACGAGACGTGGCTTCGGCCCGGAGAAGAGGGACGTGCTCCGTCATTACCTGGGTACACTTTACGTCACGTTCCCCGTCCCAGAACAATCCGCGGCCGTGGTGGTGGTGTTGGTTTTTATGTGCGTCAGGGAGTAAATGTCAGAGTGCTCCGCAATGTACCATATACACCCTCAGTGGAACAAATGTGGCTATCCCTAACGATCAAATCCTTACGGATAATCATTGGAACGGCTTATCGACCCCCGTGGCTGGATGTCGACTTGTTTTTCGATGCGTTAACTGAGAGTATATCATCCATCTCAAGCTATGATCACATTGCGTTATTGGGAGATTTTAATATCAACTTGCTGAATAACTCGGAACAGAATTCGCATAAATTAAACTCTTTTTTAAAATCCTTGGGTCTACAAAATTACATCACTCAGCCTACACACTTTACACAGACTAGTGAGTCTCTCATTGACCTTATTTGTACTGATACTCCTGTTATAAATATCTGCATTGATCATATACCTGAGCTCGGCGGCCATGCAATGGTTTATGCGCAATTTAAAATAACAAAAAAGAAACAATCGCCACTTTATAAGTTATATAGGCCAATAAAAAATATAGATATGACATCGTTCAATAAAGATTTAGATACAATTCCATGGGATTCAATCCGCTACTTAGATACAGTGACTGATATGGTGACCTGCTTCAATGCATATGTAACTGAGCTCTTTAATTGCCACGCTCCGGTAAAAAAAGTCTTATGTAGGGATAAACATAAACCGTGGCTGACAAGCAATGTACGGCTCATGATGAAATTACGGGATTCAGCTCATGCAAAGTCTAAAAAGCATGACAATGTGGTACTGCGGGACGAATATAAAAGATTAAAACATCTTGTTAATGTCGGTATGCATTTTGAAAAGAAGGCTTATTTCGAATATAACATTAATAAAAAAATTAAGGATTCCAAATCTTTATGGTCAAACTTAAAAAAGACTGCTTTACCTAATACAAAGGTGAACAGCTTGCCCTTGTCTGTAAACGATCCGGATAAAATTAACGATCATTTTTTAAAAACTCCAGGTATTGACGAAGTTCGCATATCCGATCTGACTTACTTTGAGCATCATAGGTGTGGTTCATCTACTTTCAATTTAAAACCTGTTGACACACTTACAGTAGGTAAAATTATGCTACAAATAAAATCAAATGCTTTGGGCATTGATAATATATCTAAAGATATGATGCTTTTAACACTCCCTAGGACACTGGACATTATTACTTTCATAATTAATAAGTCTATAGAGTCTTCAACATTCCCTGCAATATGGAAAACAGCGGTGGTATGTCCTATCCCTAAGGTTACCAACCCATCAAATTTATCAGATTTGCGACCGATTAGCATATTACCTTTTTTGTCTAAAGTCCTGGAAAGGATTGTCCATCTACAAGTGTCCTATTACTTGGAAGCCAATAACATATTACCACCTTTTCAATCTGGATTTAGAAAACGAAGAGGTACGATCACTGCATTATTGGATGTTGTGGACAATGTTTTGGCGGCTATGGATAAGGGAAATGGTACCTTGCTTACTTTGCTCGATTTTTCGAGGGCTTTCGAATGTTTAAATATAAACCTCTTACTTTCAAAACTTAGATACTATGGATTTGATGAGCAAACAATACTCTGATGTGATAGTTACCTCAGTAATCGTTATCAGCTCGTACGACGACACTCTACTATATTCCCATCCTAGATCATTGACGCGAGGAGTCCCGCAGGGATCAATTCTAGGTCCCCTATTATTCATTCTGTATAGTGCTGACATTGCTAGATACTGTGAAGGATGTTTATAGCAATATGCGGATGACTTACAAGTTTACATGTCTATAAATCCTCAAGATACAAACATGGCGGTTAGAATATTGAACTCAACACTTTTCCGTATATCGAACTGGTGTAATAAAAATTCTCTTGTTTTGAATCCGGCTAAGTCGAAATTCATGATATTGGGTTCTAAATTGCAGGTACAAAAAATTAAAAATCAAACACCAGTTATAACAGTAGAAGGTACACCTCTGTTGCAAGTAACTGAAACGCGCAATCTGGGTCTACTAATGGACTCTGGTCTTAAATTCGAAAACCATGTCCTAGATTGTGTGGGGAATTCCTTCTACAGACTAAAGATATTGTACAAAATTCGAAATTATCTTTCAACTGATCTACGTGTTCGACTGTGCGATTCTCTGATATTGTCCAAGCTGAGTTACGGTTTAGCTGTTTTCGGTTCATGTACACTAGCTAGATCACGGCGGCTTATCCAACGTGTACAAAATGCATGCGCCCGTTTTTGCTTCCGTATACCACCGCGTAGTCATGTCTCTCCTTATCTCAATAATGCTAAACTACTAAATATGTCTTCACGTTACAACCTTTATTTTGCGACTTTGTTGTTTGATGTCATTGAATCCAAAATGCCTGATTACCTTTATAGAAAACTTGTGTGGTCTGGCAATCAGCATGCTTTTAAAACCAGGGCTTCGTTGTATCGACTAGTGACTCCAGCACATCGGACTACTGCCTTCAGAGGCAGTTTCAGATATATGGCCTCCAAGTGTTGGAATAACTTACCTCCTCCCATTCGTAATATAAAAACTAAAGTGAATTTTAAAATCCTTTTAAAAAAACACTTATTGTCTGAACAACTGACTTTAAATAGGAGGTCCTTTATCTGAGGAGTCTTTTTTTCAACGACCGAAGTCGGTAAGCATGGTCAGGAACAATAATGTCTGACTCACGGCGCGTTTAGCCAGCGACCTTGTATATGCTAACAACAACTATTATTTATGTACGTAGTATGTATCTATAGGTTAACAATATATGTATACATAACACACCACTTCATTTTTAATCTATTTGTATATTGTATAATGTTTTGTAATAGTATAATTTTTTAAGAGCTCGAAGTGTAATATATAAACATTCACGTATATATGTATGTAAGTATGTATTTAATTATAGGAGCCAACAGAATATCAGCGCTGCAGACTTATCTGTAGCTTCATGCTGAGTTGGTTGCCTCTTCATCATTGCGACACATAAAGCCACCTCCACTTTTATTTTATTTTGTAATATTATATTTCTGTATTATTTAATCTGTAAACTTTATTTCTATTTATAAAATGTATCTCATGTATGCTATGTGTTTGTAATGGTTGAATAAAGAACTTATCTATCTATCTATCTATCTATCTATCAAATCAAGAATGTACCTAAATATTACTTAATACAGAGTGAGCATACAAAGTACCATAAACACAATATTCTCGCATACAGAAAACCAGTTTAAAATCATAACAAATTGCTGTCTTCACCGCATAGGAATGTTACAATAAAAGAATGTAGGTACCAAGCGAAACAATTCTAACGGGCCGCTTTATATTGACAACTTAGTAGGCAAGGATACATTTATAACTTTCATTAAAAATGTATTAATCATTAATAAACACCTACTCAACAAAATACTAGGTTTATATACGCAAATAGTACTTTTAATTTACGATGTTAAACACGATCACAAGTTATAGGTAAAGGTCAAAGGTCAAGACGAGTAATGTAATAGTATTAATTTAATTTAAGGCAAACTAAGCAGAGATTTATTTGGAATAAACAATTAATAGGGTTTTCCGGGTACGGAACAGGCCAGACCAAATGTAATCAGAGGTTTCCAAACTACGCTCTGCTACCAAAATGTTAGGGAAAGTACTATGTATATATATAGGGAAAAATATGTGGAAACGTCTGTCACGTACCTGTATGGTTCTGCGGATTTCTTGGGCTTCAGGGTCTCGAAGATATCTTCGCTAGCTTTCCAGTTTCACAGTAGGTTTAACACAGTTCTAATTTATTTTAATTCACAACACAATGCGTGCGCGCGTCTATGCCGCTGTATGGTCAGTTCAGTACTGGGTAAGGGAGGGGAACAGAAACCAACGGACTCTAATATAATAATCTGTGCTTACGATGGTACAGGGTAGATTTTGAACACACACTAAATGTTCTTTCTACTTTCTCAACTCCTGACGTATCTCCTTTTCATTTTAGTCAATTTACCGCTTGTGATGTTAAGAAGAATATACTTGCCATAACGTCGAATGTCATGGGAAACGATAATGTTAGTCGTAATATGATCATTCCTATCCTTGATATTATCCTTCCTACTATAACTATTATACTTAATAATTCTATTTCCTCTGCCATTTTCCCTTCCACGTGGAAAAATGCTCATATAATACCTCTCTCCAAAAATAATAATCCTTTGACTTTTTCAGATTATCGTCCCATTTCCATACTTCCATTCCTATCCAAAGTTTTAGAGCGCCTTGTTCACAAGCAACTATATAATTTCCTTTCTGTGAACAATCTTATTAATCCACTCCAGTCCGGTTTCCATCCTGGTCATAGCACGACTACCGCTCTCATCAAGATCACCGATGATATTCGACTTGGCATGGACAAATCGCAACTGACGTTGCTAACGCTATTAGACTTTAGTAATGCGTTCAATACTGTTGATTTCGATATTTTACTCAGTATGCTAAATTCTCTTAACATATCTCCAACGGTGATTGAATGGTTTCATACTTACCTGTATGGGCGCCGACAGCGTATTTGTATCGAGGATGTCTGTTCATCCTGGTGCGCAACTACTACCGGCGTACCTCAGGGTGGCGTTTTATCTCCTCTTCTCTTCGCATTGTTTACCAATTCTATCACACTTTATCTTCATTCATCCTACCATCTCTATACCGACGATTTACAAACTTATTATCAAGCTACTCTGTCCAATATCACTGATGCTATTCACGATATTAACCTTGACCTCCTCTATGTCGCCGATTGGAGTAAAGTTTATGGCCTTACTATTAATCCACAGAAAGAACACTGCATCATTATTGGAAGGCCATATTTCATGCCTAAATTAAATAGAACGAGTCTCCCGCCTATCACCTTTAACGGGCATGACATTGATTATAGTGTCCATGTAAAAAAACTCGGTATTCATTTCGATGATACACTATCGTGGTCACACCAAATTTCGCAATTAAGCCGAAAAATGTTTGGGTCTATCGGTAGCCTAAATCGATTGCGAAATTTCCTGCCTGAAGATATCAAGACTGCGCTCGCAAATTCATTGTTACTTCCAATCCTAGATTATGCAGATTCATGCTATGTAAATGTCACTGAAGAATAACTGAATAAACTTGAGGGACTCCAAAACATATGTATAAGATTTATATTCGGTCTTCGTAAATATGACCACGTATCTCAATTTCGCAAAAAACTCAAGTGGCATTCGTCTTCGCAGGAACTGTCATATACTATCCCTCCTTTACACCATACTTTTCCACCCTCATACTCCTGAATACTTGAAAAATAACTTCCAGTTCCAGACCAAAAATCCGGGTTCTGAATTGCGTAGCACACGAAGTCTCTGTTTAACTTTGTGGTGGCGCCACTGTAACGTCAACATCAACTGAGTGCTTAAATACTTAAATAAAATATTGTTAACGTATTAATAACTCCAAAATTCATCTTAAAATATAAATTCGAACTATATACTTTGTCAATAGTGTTTGTGGAAGTTTTTATCTTTCGGATCACTACAAAACATCACTAAATGTTTATGGTAGCAAGTACAACCAGTGCAATTAATAAGTGCTATATATATAAGGAATTATAGAAGATTTACGATTTTACAAGTGCATATCTTCCCATCAGAAGCTAAAAGTATAATAATTTATTATCATTCAGAATCCTAAACAGGCAAGATAACGAAAACGTATTTTATTACTTGTTCCACTATATATGTGGGTGTATTGATAATAAGTGATACAAAAAAAAAAAAAAAATTGGCAATAGCGTACTATACTATAATAAACATCTACAATGGAATCTAATAACGTTACTATTAGAAATAGACAGCACAGTCAATCTACTGATTCATCCGACATATCTTTTACAACGGAATCTGACTACCTAGCTAAAAGTCTTCCTGATTTATCTACCGTATGTAACGTCGACTTTGAAGATATGAAAAGGGAAATAGAACACTTAAAATGTAGTTTAGAAAGTGCACATCACAAAATAGATTCATTAATGTTGGAAAATAATCTTTTAAAGAAACAGACAGAAGAACAGCAAAATATAATAACCAACCTAAAAATGATATGTACAAGCTCAACATCTCAAATACCAAAAACTAAAACACCAATTCGAAGAAAAAATAAGAACACTTTAAGCATCAGTAACATAAATATCACACAAGAGACCCCATCACCAATTACAGAAGAAACAAGTAACAGATCCCAAGACGGTACTTTGATGCAAAAAAAATGTATGACATTAAAGCCCTATAAAAATAAATCGAATTCTGCCACTTCACATGATATTCAAGATACTGACACCTCCCTAACTACGTTTCCATATCGTAAGACCTATGTGAGTGACAGTCATAGATATATTAATAATGTACCAAGTAAGTGCAACGATAAAAACACTCACAACGATAATCAACAAATAATGATAATTGGAGGACAACAATGCGTCGGTCTAGCATCACGATTAATAGACTCCAGACGTAGTACACCTTATATTAAATATACTGTCTCATCTTTCACTCAGCCTTTC